CGGCAAAGTTTCTGTCATCCCTACGTTGTCAAGGATCGTGAAGGTTTGACCTTGCAACGCGACGGCGGCGGACGCAGAGCAATTCGAATGACGAGCCGGTGGCACCGTCATGGCGTCTGACTACTATACCCAGACTGAGTGTGCACACGAGAGCAAATTAGTTTCGTCAAACGCGCATGCATTATAGACGCAGGTATACACGGCTCGACAGTGCCAGCAATTAGATCGTCGCCCCCATACAAGTATCTATGGTGACCCGCAGCCCGCTAGGCGGGGCTGGGGTGTGAGTAGTAACGTACATTTGGTGTGAGTTGCGGGCGTGTGGTCGTCATAAACATCCATAATAAAGAAAAAAACTGTCACCGAGCGAGCGGCGCGTTCACTCCTCCTTCCCAATCGCCGCCTTCGCCTTCGCAGCCTCAGCGGCCTTGACCTCATGCAGAGGGTCGAGCTCGGAGAGAGGCTGGCGATACGACTTGCCCATCTTGTCTGCCCATGTGAAGTACTGGACAAAAATCTGGATCAGTTTCACTCCGACGCGGAGAGCATGGGTAAGCTTACCTGGCCGTAGTTCACAGTGAAGTAGATATGGTGCAGAGTGTGGTGCGCGGGACCGTTGATGAGGTTCTCCAGCGGGTGGCCAGTAATCATGTCAGAGTCATGAATGAGGATGGTCCAGAAGTTCACGAGGACGAAGAGTCCAAGGTGGAGCTTCTTATGCTGAGGAAAGACGTAGGGGAAGAGGTGGTACGGGATGGACTGGAAATAGCCGTCGAGCGGGTGGAACGCATACGAGGCCCAAGGGGTGGGGACTGGAGAAACGGATCAACACAAGGTATCACTGAGACAACGGAGGGGAACTCACTGATCCACTTGTGGTGCGGCTTATGCAACCACTTGTAGCAAATGGGGTGGTGCTCCCACCGGTGAATCCAGTAGATGCAGTAATCCGTGAAGACCAGGAATCTGAATAATGTCGTCAGTGTCTGATGGGGCAAGCGGTCAGGATGCGAACTTACAGAGGTATCGACAGGAAGAAGTATGCCCAGCCATATTCGTCGACGTCGTCGTACATCTTGGAGTAGCCGCGAATCTCGCCGAGGAACCAGGGCAAGGTGAGGAGGGTCATCAAGGGGAATGCCGCCAAGCTCGACTGGACCTCCTGCTTGACCTGGTTCTTGAGGAACCGCGGGTGTTTCATCATGTCATGGTTGAAGATGAACTGATACGAGAGGCCGGCGAAGATGAAGTAGATGATGTGGATGCCAACGAGAGTGAGGACGAGGAGTGAAATAGCTTGTCGGGGGAGGTAGTCCCGAGGCCATGCCGATGCGACCGTCTCGGAAGCGATGAGAGGTGAGGTCAGAAGCTCGTCTGGGAGTGGTGGATGGGGAATGTGAGAGATGAGCTGGTGCCAGGCAGAGGACGTGGAGGCGGGAATTTGGACGTGAGAAGAGGCGTTGTATAGGCCGGCCGCATTTGAGCTGGCGGTTGTGAACGCAGAGACCGGGAGAAGGGAGGCCCAAACCCGGTCGAGGGCCCAGTCATCGGCGATATTGAGGAGGATATCCATCGCGTTGGGGGGTGTGGCGGACGCGGCTGAGTGCGCGCTGGGCTTTTGAGGAGTAAGAAGGAAACTGAGGCCCTGGCGCACTAGTCGGGAACGACGGAGAGAAGGAAATCGGCCGGCCGTGTTTATATTCCAAGCGCGCGCCGCAAAGTCGTCCCACTCACCAGATTTTTGACACATCAGGTAAGGGCGCCTTCTGTTCCATGTGATCAGATTAGATCTCAGACATCCAATCTTATCTCGGCCCCGCTGGCCCCCGCCGTTCCCCGCAAGGGCGTTGTTACTCACAGACAGTGCCCTGCTGGCCACCTGTTCTCCCCCAGAGCCTTCCAGCTGCTGATGCATCGTCCTCGCGCTCTTCATCTCTCTTCATTTCGCTCTTCCGAGCACAAGGACTCACCCGTCTCGCGACACGCGCCCTGCCCGAAGCGCCCTCAAACCGTACCCCGCATTCATCTCGCCAGAGGCCTAGTGGCGCCCCGGCATGCCGACGCGCCCGCAACCCGAGGCAGTCAAATCACAATGTCTCGATGAAAACATACCGACGGCTCCATCGTACGATGGCCGCTATTGCTGTCATCCCTCGTGCTCCAGGCGCAGATGCGGCGTTGTCCAGTCGCCACTGCAGTCTCTTCTCTTCCCCACGCGATGGCCGGGCCCTTCGCCTCCCCCTGTTCGGGACTGGAGCGGGCCCGCTGGCTGCACTGGAACAGGCTGGTCTTCCCTGGCCTCCGTGCCGTCGTTCGACATCTCGCGTCCAGTGCAGCAGTGTGTCGCGATAGAGTATAAACCCGAGAATACATAGTGGTCAAAGGCAAGACAAGACGTGCGTGCTGTTGGGGCGTGCAGTCTTCGTGGCTTCGTGTGGACGTACGTCACTGTCCGATCGCTTCAGGACCCGGCGCCTGTGCTTGGCACCGTGCTCGCATCGGGATGTTAGTACAGTCAGTAGCGCTGTCTTCCAACCGCAAACACAGTATTGACGATGCGGCAGCGTGACAATGTAGAACGTTGTGCATAGCTTTCCAAGCTGGTTCTTTTTCTCGAAACGCAAGCGCGCTACGCGAGTGCTTCCGGATTCTTACACATGCCCCTCCATGTAACCATAAGTACGTATTTATGACCAGAGGTCGAAGCTTCCGCACACGCGACCACGCAGTTCCGCGGAAATCGTCCAACAGGCTGGCAATATGCAGACTGTTTTCCGCATCTCGGGTGCCTCGGAGTCAATGTATAGTTATGCAGCGTCGCATAACAAAGCTTTCGTCTGTGTAGCGTACATCCAGGTGATGTAACCTGCCCGCGCTCTCCGGATACAATGCACCTCGTTCCTCAACATGTTGCTCATGACCTCACAGGTCTGCGAATTGCTCCGTGGCCTATCGGGCGGGCGTGGAGGACAGGCACGTCAGGACGGTGGCTATCCATGAATAGGCGGAATCACGGACCTTGACAAGCAACTTCGCGTTTCCCGGGTCACGCGAGGAGTGTCCTGCGTCCGGGACAATATGCAACGTGATCTCGGGCCATACCTTCTTCAGCGCGTATGCAGTCGTCGGCTAAGTTCCGCGTGAGGTGGGCATTCGATGACATGAAGAAGGAAGCATACCGGGCAGATGACGTCGTAGCGGCCCTGGACGACGATGCAAGGGATGTGGCGGCTGCGGCACCAGTTCAGCACGGCCAACCGACGCCACGGATACTCAGCCTCACATCTTGTCAATCTCCTGCTTCTCGAGGAGCTGTCCGTCGCGCATGAATCCCTGGTCGTTGGCGTGAGAAGCTACAGCTCCGCCGGAATGAAAGGCAGCTTACGTCGTTCACAAAGTAGTGGTTCTCGATCCTCGCGAACGCGCTACGTGGCCATGACATCAGCGTCTCCCCATGCTTGCCAGGTAGTGGCAAGAAGCGTGACACACTTGGCAAAGTCGTCCTTCTCTGCCTCCGCGAGCAGCGCGGGGTCGACGTACAGCTTCGCGGTGGACATCCTACAAGCGCACATGTCGGTGAGGTACTGCCAATATCATGTCGCGAAGCGAGTACTGACTCCCATTTCGTCCATGCGCGGGCAGCCTGGAGACGCGTCTCCTCGTCCGCCGAGTTGAGCTGTGCGTGGTACGCGGTCACGATGTCGTGGCGCTCAGCTTCCGGGATCGGCGCGATGAACTCGTCCCTAGACGTGGTGTCAGAGAAGGCAGGACGGGACGAGAGGGACACCATACCAAGCCTCGGGGAAGAGGTGGGACGTGCCGTCTTGGTAGAAGAAGCGCAGTTCGCTGAGATTCCGCGAAAGGTTCAACATCGTAGCTGATTCGCCAGAAGTAGACAGACCTCTTGCGCAGCGTGAAGACACCGCGAAGGATCAAGGTCTTTACGCGATCAGGATGCGACTAGATGTGAACGTGACGTGTTCACTATGCTTGCTATGCAAACCGATACGAGCATCTGACCTGAGCATACGCGAGTGCCAGTGTAGAGCCCTGGTAAACGAGCGTTGGATGTATAGGCCATGTCGAGCATTCAATATTTATCAGTCACCTACCCACGAACCGCCGAAGACATGCCACTTGTCGATACCGAGGTGCTCGCGCAGCTTTTCGATGTCCTTGACCAAATCCCAAGTAGTGTTCTCTTCGATCGAGGCAGTACTGGCGTAACCACTTCAGACGCTGACGCTTATGAATGGCGAACGACAATGCGCACGGTGTGGAGTTGCCCGAACCTCGTTGGTCATGAAGGATGATCTTCCCCATGGATGGTCAGCCCCATTTGGGTGTGGGGGATGAGTGGTACTACTGGAGGCTGACCTTGTACTTTGTCGGATCGAAGAAGGATCTATCTCCGGGGACGCAACCGCCGCCGGGACCTCCTGAGTACGACGGCGCTTGCGCAGTCACGCAATGCCGTGAGGTGGATGACTTTGCGCTGACGTACCGTGCAAGAAGGCGACTATATAGGCGCAGTCAGATCAGGGACGCGTGGATGAGTACTCATCCATCCGTACCTGGTGTGCCATCCTTGTTCCCACTCAACTCATAGCTACCAAACAGTCAATCCCGTCACCCTTATCGGGACGGTGTTACGCACTGGAGGGTATGAAGATCCGACACCTTGAGCTTCCCAGTCTCGTACGGCTCAATTGGAGGGAACATGTTGTCTGCAGCAGCGGTATTCTGATACCTGCTTGAACAAATGGTGAGGACTTCTGCACGAAAGGCGCGCAGCGTCAGTCGGGGTGGATGCGCAACAGAACGCTTGAAAGGTGCGACACGCGAAAGTGAGCGAGTCGAACGGGCAATGGACAGGCCACCCTGCAGGAGGCCATATCGAGCTGACATGGCGGATCTTCGTCTCCCTCCCGGCTTCCCGGGCTCCCTCGCTCGGCCTTCTATCGATCGCCCGGCGGGCACTCAGGACAAAAAATGGCTTATGACGAGAGTGGGATTCGAACCCACGCCCGTGAGGACCAGATATCGCACTTGGAATTGCCTTAGTCTGGCGCCTTAGACCACTCGGCCATCTCGCCATGTCACCTGACTTACTTTTTGTATATACAAATCAGGCAAGAGGTAGATACTTGTTCGAGTACACTTGCGATTCGTGGTGGACTCTGAATCCACCAAGACGTGCGCGTGAACAGTCGCAAGGATGAAACCGCACACTATCAAGATTTCCCAGAATGGCAGGCCTTATACCTAATCAAGCCAGATAGAGAGCAAGAATGATGTCACGGTGGCCGTCATCCGAGAGTGGTCGTCGAGTGCTTGGATGGAGTTCGTCGACGCCGCACAGTATATAAGCCCCACCCTCGCCTTCGCCATCGCCCGAAAAAACACCCATACCACAACGACCACGATGACCGTCGCACACAAGAACCTCGTCCGTCTCAAGGCCTCTGCGCAGGAGTATGAGTGGGGCAAGTCCGGCAGCGCCTCTCTCGCAGGACGACTCGGCAAAAACGCCATCGGACATGGGTTTCAGATAGACGAGAACAAGTCATACGCAGAGGTGAATTGAACTGTATATGCTGTTTGTATGTGAAGATGCTGACGGGGGATGGCGCAGGTATGGATGGGCACACATCCCAACGGCCCGGCGCACTTGTTTGACGATCCATCAACGTCGCTGCTCTCCCTCGTCTCCTCCGATCCCACATTCTACCTCGGAGAGACCCTGGTTCGGAAATGGCCGTCGACCACACACATTCCTTACCTCTTCAAGGTCCTCTCGATCAAAAAGGCTCTTCCTCTCCAGGCGCACCCGGACAAAGGACTCGCGGAACAACTCCAGCAAAAGGACCCCTCCAACTTCGTCGATCCCAACCACAAGCCCGAGATTGCTGTCGCTATCGGCGAATCTCTGAGCGCAACGAACTCGGGCACGAAGGGCGGAGACGTACAGGTTGGAGACAAGGATACCGCGTTCACCGGCTTCGTTGGATTCCGACCACTGGAAGAGATCCAGACCTTCCTGCAGAAGGTGCCAGAGCTCGCCCATGCAGTCGGAGACGCTACCCTCGTTGCCTCGTTCGTCCAGCATCCATCAATAGATTCGCTCAAGCAGGTCTACGGCAAGCTCCTCAAGCGTGGAGTTGAGGCGCGAGACGAGGTCGCCGCCGCCATCTCGAAGCTGGAGCAGCGAATCAAGAACGGCGGCGACCTCGGCGTACCCAATGGCGAGGAGCTTACTCGTCTCGTCCTCAAGGTCAACTCACAATACCCTGGCGACGCCGGTGTGCTGGCTACAGCGTTTTTCATGAACTTCGCCAAGCTCAAGAAGGGCGAAGGCATCTACATCGGAGCCGATGAGATCCACGCGTATCTCGAAGGCGGTAAGTGACAATTTCGGTCTCGATCAAGCGCATATACTGACGAGGTGCGGTAGACATCATCGAGTGCATGGCTGTTTCAGACAACGTCGTCAACGCCGCGTTCGACTCCCCAGAGTCCCTCGCCTCGCAAGTCGGTACCTTCGTGGACATGCTCACCTACACCGCACGCCCTGTCTCGCATTGGTCGCTACCTCGGGAAGCGTACCCACACTCCCGCGAGGGTCGCACGTCCCAGTACAACCCACCCATGGAGGAATTCGTCGTCCTCGGCACTCTCCTCGACGACAAGGCCGCGAAAACGGAGCGCCTGAGTGCGGTCAAAGGCCCCACAATCGGGATTGTTACGAAGGGCAAGGCACGAATCGCGGTGAGCCGGGGGAACGAGCAACTCGAGCTCGACGAGGGCGGCGTGGTCTTCATCCCACCCGGCAACGACATCCAAATCGAGTTGCTGGAAGGCCGTGAGCCACAGGGCGCGGGGGAGGTCTGGTGGTCGACATTCGGCGCATGAACACTAGGAGCCTGTTTCAACGCACCATCTGTAGCATATCTTGCGCATATGTATATCACCACGCAACCAGCTGTAGCAGTAACTCAACCTATCCATTGCACAATGCACAGAACACACACATCCATATATCGCGAGAGTAGATACAAGCAGACACCTCGCCTCAGACGTACAGCCACTTGCCGCGGTCGAGTGCCCACTGGGAGAGCTCGCCAACGTTGACGCCCTCGAAGCGACGGCGGATGGAGGGTCGCGGCTCCTCTGCCTCCTCCGGGCTAGGAGTCATCGGCGGCGAGAGGGGCGGCGAGACGTCGTCCTGGGGGTCGACCGCGATAGGGTCGTATGGGGAGAGGATACCCAGCCCGGATCCGCCGACAGCAGTCACGTACGCCCGGTAGCCGTCCTCTTCGAGAGCAGCGATGAGTTGCTGCAGTGCTTCATCGGAGAAGTCTGTCGATACAGTTAGCATTAAGGTCCAGGATAGAGGACCTGACAGGTACTGTACCATCTGGGATGAGGGTGACCGCGCAACCACCACCACCCGCGCCGGTCAGCTTCGTGCTGAGGCGGTACGGGTGCGCGGCGGTCTTTTCCCGGATCTCTTCCAATGCGGGGTGGGAGACACCGAGCGAGACCAGGTGCGCGTGGTTCTCGTCGATCAACGCCTGCGCATGCGGTCAGTACGGCTGCTCCTTAGAACGGGCATCCAATCCTGAGGGACGTACCGCCAGACCAGACAGGAGCACCTCGCGCGGCACCTCGGGGTCCGCAAGCGCGCGGCGGGCCTCGTGGCTGATGGTCTGTATCGCGTCGAGGAGCTGGCCGACGAACTCGGGCTCGAGCGCCTTCTTCCTCGCGACGCCCGCGACGAGCGCCTTCGTGTCCCGCGGGATCTTCGTGTCGACGAGGAGGAAGCGGAGCGAGCGGAAGCCCGCGATCGCGTCCATCCCGGAGCGCTTCCCGAACCCGGGGCGCACGTACGCGAGCGCGCCGCCGAACACGGCGACGGAGTTGTCCACCCCGCTCGGGTTCCCGTGCAGGACCTTCTCGGAGATGAACGCCCACCGGTTCGCGTCCTCTGCGATCTCGGGCGGGATCGCGCGCCGCCCGCCGTGCGGGACGTGGACGTGGCCCGGGTCGCCCGGCGCGGCGGGCCCGCGCGTCGGCGGCGGGACTTGGGGCAGCTCAATGCGCCGGTGGAGGATGAGCAGCGCGGTGGCGACACAGACGGAGAACGACGCGGAGGAGCCGAGGCCGGCACCGATGGGAAGGGTTGATCGGCAGACGAAGTGGAAGGCCGGCCTGTGGGACGTCAGTCAAACTGTGGGCGAGCTATTTGGGGTCAGATGCGGCTCACCTATGGCCGCTAAAGGTCATCATCATGTATAGGTAGAGGAAGGCAAGCGCGGCCGCATGCGTCTTCGGGGGCATCTTCGACTCATGTGGGAGAGCGCGAGCCTTGATGGCGTCAATGACACGGATGTCGAGGTTGTCTGGATGTTCCTCGCCCTTGGGTATTGGCACTACCACATCCCAAGGCAGGTCGTCTATGTCCCACTCGTGCTTGTAGTCATTTATGTCTACGAAGTGCACGGAGATCTTGTTGTCATAGCGAGGTGACGTGAGCCCATAGCATCGTAGGTCGATAGATGCTGCAACAGCCGTCTGTGAGGATTGTCAGCAACCGGTGAATTCGTGACCTTTCGAAGGATACGAACAACTCCGTGGACGACGGCGTGCTCGCCGAACAGGATGACCTTGCCCGGAGCGCTGACGAACCACTCCCTGGTCTCCCGAGGCGGCGCCGTGCGTGCTTCGCCAAGAGCAAGCTTCTCCACGGCACGGCTGATAGGGTTGGGGATCCGGACATAGTCGTTGGCAGCGAAGGTGATTGCGCCCGCGTCGATGAGGGCGTGGCGGAGGTCGTCCAGCAGATCCGCAGGATCTTCGATACCGACACACAAGCGGATGAGATCTTCAGGAAGACCTCGAGCCGCGCGAACGGCGGGGTCAATGGATGCGTGGCTGTGTATCGGTTTCAGCTCCGCGTCATACAGAGTGTGCCTCGCGGGAGTGACTTACGACATGACGCAGGGCATACTGATCAAGCTGTTCACACAGCCGAAACTGACGCTAATGCCCCAGAGCCTGGTTGCGGCAACGATGCGTTCGCTGAGCTCCTTGTCGCCGGTCTCGAATGAGAGAACAGCACCATATCCTAGAGACAGAACGTTCAGACTTCGGACACAGACGCCCGTGCCGACAGTACTAACCGTCGGAAATACGGTCATGGATTTCTTTGCCGGGGTGGTTGGGCAACCCGGGATAATGTGTCACAAAGCCAAGCTTCGATAGCATCTGGGCCACGAGCATAGCAGTGGACTGCTGCCTATCCATACGGATAGCGAGGGTCTTCGTTCCTCTGAGAAGCAGGAAGGAATCAAACGGAGAAAGCGCATTTCCGACAGAGTTAATAATGAACGCCATTTCCTGTGTGGGTGCTGAGCTGTGCGCGCCGCCATGGAATCGCATGTATAAACACACCTTGGCAATATCGTCGCGGTTGCAGGTGATGACACCAGCCATTAGGTCGTGGTGACCACTTAGGTACTTAGTAGCACTATCGTACACGATGTCGGCTCCGTGCTCGAGAGGCCTCTGGAGGTATGGGCTCATCATAGTGTTGTCCACAACGATGATAGCGTCTTCGCATCGCTCTTTAACGAGCGCGCTGATCCGCGCAATGTCCACGATTTTCAGGAGCGGGTTCGTGGGCGACTCCAGGAGAACCATGGACGTCTTCCCGGGGTGGAGGAACGGGATGACCGACTCCGCGTTTGTGGTGTCGACATGGTGGACTGTGACGCCCATGTGCGTGCGCAGGTACGTCAGAAGACGGTTCGTGCCGCCGTAGAGATCATCGCCCGCAATGACTTCGGAGCCAGGCTTGAGCAGGCGAGTGATCACGTCGAGCGCGGCCATGCCGCTGGACACCGTGAACGCATGAACGGCCGACGATATCTTCGCGATATGATGCTCTGTAAAACGGACATTAGCATATCATATTCAATTTATGTGGACGCGGTAGCTAGCGCCTGTGTATCGCACGACCGCGCAGGTCCGCTCCGCCCGGATGACTCGTGCAACTGCCGTGCGCATGCGGCGCCTCCGGCGGCGGCGCAGACAA